AGTTCGGCTCAAACTGTAGAGAAGCTTTAATGAAAATGAGCCCACAAGATCGAACTGAAGAAACTACTATGAAAGTACTGGGAGTACCCTGGGATACGGGAAAAGATAGTATACAGATAGGTTGTACAATAAAAACAAGCGACAAGCTCACTAAAAGACATGTGGCGAGCGCAATAGCAGCCATATACGACCCAATGGGATGGCTGTTACCGTTGACTCACAAAGCAAAAGTGTACTTACAAGCACTTTGGAGAGATCAAGTGGATTGGGATGAGCCACTTTCGCCCGAACGTAAAACAGAATGGCTAGCAATTTGCCAAAGGATGCAAGGGTTTTCAAAACAAATGTCACGGGTTGTCGCTTTTAGAGGTACCAAAGCAAGCATCATCTCGTTTGCAGACGCAAGTTCAGAAGCGATGGCGACATGTACCTACCTCAAAACTCAGCAAAAGGTAACTCTAATGATGGCGAAAGCGAAACTTCCATCTATAAAAACAAAACCTACCATCCCGAAAATGGAACTCAACGCGATCACGCTATCGATGAGACTTACCCATGCGGTTACTCAGATCAATCAAATGGTCACTTTGGAAGAAGCAATTATCCTCACAGATTCGGAAATTGCATTAAGCTGGATAACCACATCGGCCAAGCAAGAAACCAGTCCATTCATAAGGAACAGAGTCAGAGAAATCAAGGAAATTAGAAATTACCTACAAGAACAAGGTTACACAATCCGTTTTGGACATGTCAGTTCGCAGCTAAATCCAGCAGATTGTGCGACGAGGGGTCTGTCAAAAGAAGACCTTCGACACCACCTTTGGTGGACAGGACCGCAATTCCTGACCCAACCCCAACAGAATTGGGAATCAATCCTCAGAACAAATGACATTGATCACGCAGAAGAAATGACTGAGGAGACGTCAGAGCAATCTAACACACAAAAGGAGATCAGCGGGCAAGTAAATCAAAACTTAGAACAGGCCCCACCAGAATATGAAGATGTCTTCAAAGATCTGCAGAGTCATGATCTCGCACAAATCAAATGCGTAGTGGCATACGTCTTGCGTTTTATAAGGACAGTCACACGCAGCGCCAACAAGACGAATAAAACTAACATTAGCTTGTCAGCGCTGCTAAACGCACACATAGAGACACATGACAAGACCCTCACTGGGAAAGAGATCCAAATAGCACACAAGGTGCTAATCAAGCAGCATCAACTAGCACGGGTCACACCGAGAATCGTACAAGCTTGCCACAAAATGAATCTCACAAAGGATAAGGAAGGCATAATGAGGTGTAGAGGAAGACTAGCAGAAAGCAATTTGAGCACCTCCGCCAAATTCCCCATTTTTGTGCTGCAAAACACCTGGTTAGCACAAGCCATTATAAGGGAACACCACAAAATAGGCCACAAAAGCACAAGCCACACAATGGCGAGCGTCAGGCAATGGTACTGGATCCCAAAACTGCGAGCGCAAGTAACAAAGATCATACGTAGTTGCGTACCATGTCAGAAAATGAATAATCTACCCTATCGATATCCAGAACAAAGCGATCTGCCAGAACGAAGAGTCGTACGAACAAGACCGTTCGAAAATGTCGGACTGGACTACTTCGGCCCACTAAATATTACCAACGAAGAAGGCGTAATCACAAAATGCTATGGGGCGATCATCACCTGTTTGGTCACAAGACTGATCCATTTGGACATTGTGAAAGATGTGTCGACCGAAGCCTTTTTAAATATGATGAGACGATTCTTCGCAAGGCGAGGCACCCCAAAATCAATTACCAGCGATAACGCCCCCACCTTTATCCTCGGAGACTCAATTCTGCAAGAATGCCATCATCAGGCCATGAAAAATCCAGTCTTAGCGAAAGAAATAACCAAGAAAGAAATTGACTGGAAATATATAACACCATACGCACCGTGGCAAGGAGGAGTATATGAACGGCTAATCAAATCTGTGAAATTAGCCATGCACAAATCTCTCGGAAAAACTACCCCCTCCTACGATGAACTCCAAACTACCATAACGGAAATCGAGGGGATCCTAAATACGAGACCACTTACATACGTCGAGGCCGACCCAGAAGACCGCATTCTTAGACCAATAGACTTCCTGCAAAATGAATTCGAAATTCCATACCCACTAGACGAACACAAAGTGGAAGAGGATCCCGAATATCTGTCGCCAGAGGAACAAGCTCGTCTACTGACGAAGACGACAGTACTACAAGCCATTCAGAGCTCCTGTAAACTGACAGAAAAGTTCTGGCAACAATGGCAGTATGAATACCTCACGGCATTACGAGAGACCCACAAAAGAGAAGTCTTTAAGAAGCGGTCTACAAGAGATTTACCACGCATAGGCAAAGTAGTGTTAATAGTAGACTCATTACAGCCGCGATATACCTGGAAGATGGGACGCATTGAAGAACTGGTAACAAACAAGGAGGGGACCGTAAGAGAGGCGGTAATACGACTACCCTCGCATCGAAAAATACGACGACCAGTAAATCTTTTAGTCCCCTTAGAACTTGAAGATAGCAAACAAGAAACGGAAGATAACAACTCACCAGCAGAAGGGAATTTGCAACCTCCACCTCAAGATACAAAACCTTCGAGATACGACCTTCGTCCAAGGAACCAAAACGTGAAATATACGGAAAACATTGCCGCAAATGGCATGAATTTCGTAACCTTCATCACGTTGGCTTTGATGATGCTGGTAACGGGTGGAAAGATGGCACCAGTAGAACAAAAAGTACGGGCTAGACAAACCATACGGTGCACGCTGGATGGCGTCGAGGTGCTAATTCCTCAACGAACTCCATATCAAATCTGCGTTGAAGAATTCTGCAAAACCCTCGAAAATCCCCAATTACGCGAAGTATTGATATTTCCGCCTCAAATCACATTGCATGATTATGAAGTTCACTGGAAGATCATGGAAAACCACACTATGACAACTGTAGAAACCAAGTGTCCGGCGATTTCATTCTGCGCAAAAGTGGACTGCATTTTCTGCACAACGCTGATATTCAATCCCGAATGCTGGCCCATAGGAGCGATTATTGCAAGCGGATTCATGCTTTACTTGCTCTTTATAGGCTGCTATGCGTTCATGTACGTCCCAATGATATTAGGAAGGCCAATCAGAGCTGCACTCTCGACAATATGGCATATAGTCTTCTTTGTGTGGAGAAAGACCAGAGGGGCAAGAACACGTCGATATAGATATTCAGCAACAGACCTAATAGAGCTGTTAGCAGTGGTTACATTATTAACCATGAAAGAAACGCAGGCTTGCCAACAAGTGAATATCTTTTCACATCAAGCCACGATCTGCACAAAGACGGGACAAGGGCATCTCGTTTGCCATGTGCAACTTTCAGAAGTGTTGAAAATTAACCCGTTCAAGAAGGAAGCTTGCTTTAGGCTCACAAAAAACGGGACCGCACTGCACGAAATTAGGGCAACATGGAAATCGCTGCAATTAGCATGTCAACAAGTAACAGATTACTTCACTAGGGAAGTAACTTATAACGTAATTGACAGTAAGCGATGTCCACATGTGGGAACATGCGTAGAACCCAAATGCAGAGCAATTAACACAACAGCCTTGATTCCCGAGCTGGCACAAGGGAACAAATATCCAGGATCTACATACTGTGTGGAATCCTGCGGAGGTCCCGGGTGCGACTGTTTTTATTGGAGCTCCGGATGCCTATTTTATAGAATATATTTCATCCCAAAATCCACACAAGTTTACGAAGTTTTTCATTGCAACCACTGGAAAGAAGCGGCTAAGGTAGAGATGACACATTTGGACAGCTCTACGGGAAAGTCGGAAACTTACACAGCGTTAATGCAGCCCAACATTCCCATTAATTGGGGACCATTTTCACTCACGCTAAGTTCAATAACCGTGCCACCTATCCCGCTGCTGAACACACATTTCATAACGAATGACAACGAAACCGCGTTATGGGATGGGAAAATTACCTTACCATTGCTGTGCGCAAACAAGACAATGGCAGAGTCGCTACAATGTGAAGTCCGCGACGAATGCACATGCTACCCAGCAGAAACAAAAGCAAACTGTAAATGCACGGAGATTGAGATAGCGTCAGTATTACAAAATCTACAGAAAAGGCTACCAGCAGATACACCCCTGGTAAGATTTCAAAAAACTGAGAAAGGGACGATAGAAGCATCTGTACCCGCAATGATCACCTCAGAAATCATACTGAATATCCAAAAGGACCTACAAACAGACATTTTGACAGACCAAGTCTCGTGCTTTATAAACGACGCCATATTGACAGGGTGTTATAAATGTGCGCAAGGGGCAACAGCACAGGTGCGTTGTACGGCTACACGTAAAGCCTACGCCGAGATTACTTGTGGAGATGCTAGTTTCTCGGTGGAATGTGATGAGAATGGGATAGAATCAACTCTCAGGTTCAGTTTTGAACAAGCGCGGGTACAGCAAACATGCAGCGTAACATGTGGGCAACAGCATACAGAGTTCGAAATAGCTGGTATTCTTAAATTTACCCATACCTTACAAGACATGGTGAACAGATGGGTGAACGGCAATACGAATGAGTACAGCGAGATAGAATGGCCAGACTTTTCACATATACTAGACGTTTTCACGCAATGGTACAAAACATTGATTTGCGTGGTCATAATATGCCTTAGTATCATTGCAATCACCTATATCGCTTTGTCAACATGCGGCCCACAAGGGGTTTACTGTCTATTACGACTCCCATTTCGCCTACTCAAAATAACAGTGCGATGCTGCATATTTAGGCCGTTACTGCTCATCGTGCGCTTGGGACAGTACAGCCTCAGAAGCGCGGAACAGATTTAATCATATAAATAAGCACAAAACCAGTAGAGTAGAAGTAGAAGACAAGCAAAACGAGCGAAGCTAATAAATACTTCACCCAGCAAGTTTCAATTTCTCAATTTCAGAATCATGGACTCTAACGACGAGTTTGACAAGTTGATCGCTATCGCCTCGACCAAAACTGACATTCCAACCAAGTTCCTTATGGACTACATTGAGCAAACAACTGAAGAAATGAACAGCTACGTACTCGCGGCGAAGTCGGTTAAGGCCGACTGGAAACACCTCGAGAAGGAACTACCTGACGAAGGAGAGGGTCTAGGAGAACGTGTAATCATCCTGGGGCATCTCCTGCGCGCCGTGACCGCAGCGAAAGACAGCTGGTTAAAGCTGTTCAATCGCTTCATCATATTGGTCAAGTGGCTGAACACTCGTGGCCTACAAGGATTATACGAAAAGGAAGCCGACTGGTATGACGATGAATCACTTGAGGACTTCAAAGACACCAAGTGGATGTTCGACAAGTATATTGACCGGATACAAAAGGCAACCGATCTGGCCGAAAGCCACTACAGGAACAAGATAGGTGTAAACCAGAAGGCAGACATCAACGCTCGCAACCTACGCCGGTTACAAGACAGGCTACAGGAAGCCGAAGAAGAGTTGTTCGGACTCAAACTAAAGAGGGCCAAACTAGACGAAAGCGTGGACAAGACAACTCCTGGCACTCAAGTAACAAACCCGGCGCCGATGGAGGAAGACGTCCCAAAGCTAGTCGACGAGGGAGAAGAGGGCGAATGGGAAGGCGAGGAAGAGCTCATGGTAGTGGATGAGATAGGTGATGACGAACTCCAGGAAGAGCCCGAACAAGTGGTGAACTCAGACGACCAACCTCAAGAGGAGCCAGAACAAGTGGTGCACATGGACAACCAACCCCAGGAGGAGCCAGAACAAATGGGACACATGAACAACCAACCCCAGGAGGAGCCAGAACAAGCAGCCCGTCTAGACGACGAACCTCGAGTAGTACATGAACAAGAGGACCAGCCTGACAATGATGATCAGTATATGGCACGCCTGATGGAAGAAGCTGCCGAACCAATTCCCCAAGCGCACGAGCCACCTAGGAGGCAGGAAAATCAACAAGTTGAACAAGTTGCTCGGGAACTGCAAAACAAGAGGGACGAGTTAAGAGAGACCCGTGAGGAGTTCGAACGCTGGCAGAGAACGATACGCCTTTTGCCCCGCAGGATCCTACAAGATCTTGAACAGGCACCCCACGTACACGTCGAGTGCGTGTTTTGTAATCAAGTAAACAGGCACTTTTCGGACTCCTGTCCGATAGTAACAGACGGGGAAGAAAGGTTCAGCATCACGCGACGGGCCGGCCTCTGCCATAAATGCCTCATGCGCTGCCCCGGGGATCGGTGCCGCTTCCCAACAAGAAGATGTTTTTACTGTGAGTGGGTACGGGGTACCCCCGCGGAGGGGTTTCGGCCCAACGATAGGGGGCATCACAAGGCTTTATGCACAGTCCCAAACGCCGAAGGAATTCTCCGACTCCGTGTGTGGGAGGCACGAGAAAGGTATCATATCCTCGAACAAGAGATTTTGCAGTTACAAGCAAGACTGTCTCCAGCGAGACGCCCGGAACATCACTAAAACGGGCGGCAGTGTCGCCAAGCGACAACAAGAAAAAACAAGTAATTATCCGAGGTTTGCAAGATACAGTACTCCCATGCTTGCAAACTTTACTTCAGGCCATTAAAAACAGCGTGTCCTAGTGACTCAAAGTGGCAGCTGCGCCAGATGGTAGCGACGATCCCGACCAAGAGAGGCGTCAGCACATTCGTCATTTATGCTTTAGCTCAAGTATTGCGGCGTAGTCGTGTTTAACAGTTTAGTTCGCTTTAAGCGTAGAAACTTTTGAATGCTGCGGAAAAGGCTTTAATCGCGTTTAACGTTTTCAACCTTCATTGCCTAAAATCCTAAAATTTAGCATGCGCATTTTGTCTGTGTTTTTGTTGATCTAACCTCCACATCATAGTTCTCATTTAACGATCATTTCACTTATGTATTTTTATATTGCTCACTTATGCGTGCTTTATTCGTGTATTTGTTGATTAGTATTTAGTCAGTAAAAGGTTTAATTACCCAAGTTTGAGGTGTTGTGTGTGTGGTAAAGTCCCGCGTGGCGTATTCGGCTTGTTGGTATTCACACAAGTGGTATTCGAGGTTTATCGTGTCCTAATATCACTTATCGTCACTAATTTATCTCAAGTATGCTATTCCGAAAAAGAGTGGAGAGCTGCATGTGAATGGCTGCTTTGAGCGGTGTCGACGGAACTGACCTAAAGTAAAATGGCTAAACTTATATGTGCTCCAAAAAGTAGCAGTAAAAATACTAAAAGTAGTAGAAGTTCAAAGAAGTAGTGAGAAAGAAGAATGATTTTTACCTCTCAAAGTGCTTTATTATGGAAAGCAAGACTGGCATAGCAAAAGTAAGCCAATAATTTCTGCTAGGATCAAAAATGGCAGCCAACAATGAAATGATTGACGACAAATCTGAAATACCTAGAACTTCAAAACCAAGTAATGTACTGAGATGAAATTTCCGTCAAAGAGAGGGGGTAACGAATGAGTGTAAAAAACTACTGAAGCCACTAGCAATTAAGCCAATCTAAAAAGAAAGTTTACCATGCTTATCAATCTCAGAAAATCCAGATATACTTGCCAATAAGGTTGACAGTGCTTTGTGACTCGCAGGATTAAGAGCCACTATTCCCTACAGAACAATCACGCAGTCGTGTTCTAAACATACCGAATTTGTCCATTCAAAGAGGAATGGTGTATTACCAGCATACCTTGATCACATCTCCACTTAAGCTGCATACAAGGGTGAGATAGAGTCTCTGAATTAGCTAGCGATTCCGTTGGGTGGTACCAGCAGACCATTTGGGCGAGCTGGATGGAACGTGCTTAGACAGCCGCCATAGATTGCCGACAACTATTGACGACAAGTGTTACCGGAGTTTCGGTGTTGCCGAGGTTTCTGAAGTTGCCGCTTATAGAGCGTATAATGCAGTGCGATAGGAGATGGTACACCGGCAGCCGCGGCAGCGCCGGCAACCCTAGCTACAGTTGTCAGCGAACTAGCCAATATAAGAAAACGACTATCTCGATATTAGGTCACGCTTTAGCGGCTCGCAACTTCGCCCGCCTAGCTAAGGTCTTAGGCCCTGGCCAGACTTCGCTCAAAAGCGGCCAAAAGCGCTCAAAAGCGCCCAAACTTCCCTAACCTCTCCTCACTCTCTCTCTCATCTCTCCTCACATGAGAGAGTGAAGAGACACGGATACCAGAGAAATTTGGGCGCTTTTAGGCGCTTTTGAGCGCTTTTGAGCGAAGTCTGGCCAAAGCCTCACGTCGCGTTCGAGTACAAGGCAGGCGCGAAGGTCCGAGCCCGTGGATTTGTGACACTCATGGATCGTTCGGACGGTACCGGAAAACCCTACCAACCCGCCTGAACACGGCCGATGGAACAAGAAAAAACACAGATGCTGTAGGTTGTACCAATCTAGAGATGATGAATGATGATAACTGCCGAATTATTTTCACCAAATCATCAACCAGACTCATTTTTCCAATCGTTGGTATGGTTGGAAAAAGTATGGTGGCGTGATTAGAGTAGAATCTCCCATGAATCGAATGTATAGAGGAACCTGAGCCAATAAGAGAGTAATTGAAACATGCATGATGAACTTGAGAAATTTTTATGCAGATGAGAAAATGAACAACGACGCGCACTCTGAATGGAAATGAACCACTCTGCGTATAGTTGGAACGATGAGGTGTTACTTTTAGCCGCAAAGACAGGAGGAAAGAAACACCTAAGGCTCTGGCCAGACTTCGCTAAAAAGCGCTCAAAAGCGCCCAAAAGTGCCCAATCTCTAACTCTCCTCCCTCTCTCCCATCTCTCCTCAAACGAAAAAGTGAAGAGACACCAGAGAAATGTGGGCGCTTTTGAGCGCTTTTGGGCGCTTTTGAGAACTTTCAGGCGCCTTTGAGCGAAGTCTGGCCAGGGCCTAAAACCTTATACTTGTTCGATAAAATAGCATTTGGTTAGGGTTTAGGCAAGTGAAGAACAATAGCAACGAAACGCTGAATCTGACAAAAGCAAAAAGATAAAATGAAAAAGAATCATAAAAGAACCAAAAAAGATAATTAAACAAACCTCTATAGAGAAGATGTGTCAGATACATGGAGATCTCAACGACGCAAAAAGCGCTGCGAATGCTCCAACCGAGAGCCATAACGATCTGCACCTTTCGGCTGGTTGAAAGCTCCTTGGCAGGTATGCATAGTCAGCATAACGGGAAGTGTAGAAACAAAGCTGAACGAGAAAAACAATCGAAAAAATCGAAACTGGTCAAGCACGCGATAGTTATGCTATCGGAATTCTCAAAGATAAGATCAAGGAAAAGCTTATTCAGGCAATGAGGAATACTTACCGACGACCGTGTGGCTGTTCACTTAAGATTTGTAACAAACATAAAATAGACATACAAAGACAGTGAATTTTAAAATCAGCAAAAGCTCAGATGAACTTGAAACTCGTTGTATCTTACAACAAACTAGAAAAACTCATCATGCCAGCGATTTTTGAACATTAGTGACTGTTTTGGGTGACAAGTATGCCTCAGTAGCAAAAGAGAAACATAGAAAATAAAGAAATCGATCAAAAATCAGCCAGATAACGAGATGAGTGTCATGAACCTGCCGGCATCTCGACGTGGTAGGGGCACGACGAGATGCCGGCAGGTTGCACTCCTCAATATGCACGCTATTTTCCTCTCTTTGCTGACATGAGGGCGAGATGCCGGCAGATTGAGGGCGAGATCGCGGCAGAAATCTCGACAAAATACCTCACGAAGTTGCCGGCAGGTCAATCTTTTGGGTCCAAAATTTGAAGTTGTCGGATTTTTCGGATTTTTTTCGATCTCCATCTGGTGCCCACCTCTAAGCTGGACCGTCAGACCTGGAGAGCGCCAAACTAATTGCTTTGGGAAAGCTAGAGAGGGCGCTGACAATTTTCATGACCTGAGGGCGAGATCGCGGCGAGTTGAGGGCGCGACCTGCCGGCAGGTAGGGTAGATTACTACGGGCCCTTCTTATATGTATCTGGACGTTCGATAAACATGAAAAACCTTGAGAAAAGAACTTAACAGGAGAGGAAGAACAGCTTGGGCTGCCTTCAGGGCTTTGAAGAAACTACCGACCAACTTAAGGACCCGGAGCTTCGAGCCCAGCTGTTCGACCAACCCTCTCCTGACGCTCCGTTACACGGCTGAAACTTGGGTCGAACACACTGTAGACAAGTTGAAAGCTCTACGGACCAGCCTAGAGCGCTTAAACACAGTCTTCTAAAGGTGACAAATAACATCTCGTTTGGACTTCGCATTAGAATATGAGAAGGATGTTCCGTCTTCGTGACCTAGACGTTGCAAAAACGAAGCATCGATGAGTCGGTCACATTTTGAACAGATGACAAATGGTAAACAGGGTCAAACAAGAGATGTGGCACACAAGCGCCGGATACGACCCCCCTCCCTCCTATCTTTTGTCGCAATAGCCCCCACCCCTCCCCACCAGCAATACCGTTTGCCTTCCGTGTCATGACATAAAGGTCCTACCATGCATAAATAGGCACATATTCGTAATTATCGTGTCAAATAACCACCATGGGCCAAGATTTAGCAAATTCTGAGTGCCCTTGATATTGGACCACCCAAGTGAAGTGACCCATTTTCGAACATGATCAACTATATTTTAAAAGTGAATTAGCTACAAGGCTTACCAAATTGAGTGTCGTTTGCACCAGCATCTTCATCTTCGCGCTGCTCTGCGTCTCTTCTGCGAAAGATGCTCCCTAATCACTTCCAATCGATTGAGGCTACGCCTTTCCCACGCTCGCCCTGGGAAAGTGCTCAGAGAGCATGTCCCGCAGAAGAGACGCAGAGTCCAGCGCGAAGATGGAGATGCTGGTGCAAACGACACTCAATTTGATAAGCCCTATAGCCCTACAAAGCACTACTCCCTTTTTACCCATACCATGAATCTTGCTTCAAATAGCCATCAAACTATAGAACTAGAAGCAGGACAAATTCTTTTTTGTTCCATTTCGCTTCCAATGGCTGCTTTTTCACCAGCTTTTATTCGGGACGAAGAAGATGAATCAAACCCAGATTACTCCTATGGGTTGTTTCATACTGCCGCACTGACTGCAGCAGTCTGCACTGACCGCAGCAGACTGCAGCAGACTGCAGCAGACTGCAGCTGCCCGCACTGACCGCAACGACCGCAGCGGCTGTAGCATGCAGGCGGAGAGGATAAATAGTTGTGGCTTGAACAAACAACAACAATATATACATAGTAGCAAAAGACAACACGGTTTAGAATGTTACAAAACAGGTATATGCAATGATAGGAGGAATTAGAACAAATACGAACATAGCAAAGAAAACTATCGCCAAAATTTGATTGAGAAGAATTCTGATGAAACTTATGATCTTCTTATGCGTAAATCACGCTGTTTTGGTAATTGCGGTTGTTTTCTTTTGAGAAAAGAGGCTGCGACCGGTGCGGTCAGTGCGGTCAGCTGCAGTCAGCTGCAGTCTGCTGCAGTCTGCTGCAGTCTGCTGCAGTCAGCTGCAGTCTGCTGCAGTCTGCTGCAGTCAGTGCGGCAGTCTGAAACAACCCTATGAAAACTACGACTCAGGCTACCAAACTATATGTATTGCTCGTTAATATTCTTTTTGGAGGCAAGTTAATGGGATGTGGCACAACCCCCTAAAAAGCTGTGGCCTCCACACCTTTTTAGGGGTGGTGCCACATCCCAATAACTTACCTTCGAAGCATCAAATCTCTGTCTCTTTTATATGGTTGCTACTGCTAAACCTTCTTCTTCACATAGCAAGAATTTCATTCGAAATTGTTTCTCCTAAGGGAAAATATAGTCTTTTTTCCTTAGCTAAGCAAATGGAAAACACTGCGGAAATATTGGATTACGGTAATATGCTAAGTCTGCGCTACTACGCGAATCGCGAGAGAAGGCGGACAAGTATATTTGCTGGTCTGATCCTCGTAATCTCGCGAAAGTGATTTGAGCTTGACTGTTTCTAGTCTGAGATACTGAAATCGAAAAAGTGGGGCAAATGAGCCTTTGGCTTGCTCTGAATTCCAGAGTTTGGAGGTTAGCTGAAGTGGGATTTCTTGAGTAAAGAAGTAATAGGGCTTTGTAATGAGTGCAAAAAGAAGTAGTTTACTCACCTTGAAACAAAGTCAGCATGTTCGAGAATGACCACCTCACTTGAGTCTCTTATTATTCGGAACCCTCAAAATTCGCTGAAACTTTGTGCAGCCAATGTCGGCACCTTTCTAACAACCGTATCTTTACTCTCATCGAAGCATCGTTCAGGTCATGCCATAAGCATGACCTGCTGGATAGTCTCTTACGTTAGCCTACCACGGCCATTATCTACAGCATTCTACCATAGCATCAACGTGTGCAGGTCGCCTGTCTCAATAAAGCTCTAATGCTTTTGTGTCTGTAACACGTCTATCAGGCGCTATTTCGCCATAAAGCCTAGAACCAGCGATACATTTGGTGCATCGGCCAAATAAGACCGATATGTGCTTGCTCAAGAGCAGCAGAACAACAACAACAATGAGGATTTCGCCTTTCTTCACAGATGTATTCAGAACATCTACTATGGAACTCGCGGAACTACTGAAGTACGCGTGCCACGATGAGAAAATAATCCTTCCAGATGATGATCAAATGCGCCAAGATCTACATATGCCGTGACCATCTGGATTCACTAGCGAGGTGCAAAATAGAAGATGAAGATGCCATCGAATCGCTACAAATGGATTACGACATATTAATGGGAAGATGCGAGGAAGCTAAATCCGAAGCTGCGAGGAAGTTAATGGCGGAATGGGACGCGTTGGAAGAAGAGATAAGATTTTTTGAAATCAGTTCTGACGCTAGAAGGTTTCATATTTCTTGCAAGACCGCATGGAAGACGATATGCTAGAGTTAGTAGGGAGCGAAAGGAAGTTCCTTAACGCTAGGTTCATGAATTGCGGGAAAGTTCAAACAGACAAACTTTGTTTAAAGGAGCAATA